GCTGCTCATACGGGCTCTCTTCATGCTGCACTGGATGGTGACTCCATTTCCCTCTTGCACGGTCACTCCCCTGGGGTTCTGCTCCAAGGTCACCTGGCCAGTGACTGCTGCAGAGAGCAAGAACAAAGCACAGTCACTGCAAGATCCATCAATGTTTAAGGCAGTGCTGGTGTGGCCTTGGACAGGCACTGGACCTGTGGGAGGAAAAAATCCTCCTCTTGGAAGCCAGCTGACACAAATGGGCAGAGCTGGTGGCAGCTAGCAAGGCTCACAAGGAAGGAGACACCACATTTCCCTCCCTCCTTCTCCCAGTCACAAAGGCAGCTTCTTCTGATTTTCCCCAAAGAAGCAGGAAGGATTTGCACCATGATGGGACAAAGTCCTTTGTCCTTGCCAAGACAGCATGGTGAGAAACCCATTCTTCTGTCTCTGATCCAGCTCTAGGTGAGCACAGCAAAGACAAAGGGCTGTCCCAGGCAGTGGGGTTGTGCCCTGTGCTGCCATGCCCCAGCTGGGCTGTGCCAGAGGGGCCGCAGTGCCCCAGGAGCAGTGTCCAGTGCCAGGCAAAGCGCTGGGCCCCGAGATGTGAGTGCAGCAGGGAGGTGCCCTGCGTGTGCCCAGGCTGCAGAGGAGGCAGCTGGCATGGAGGTGCCGAGCTCAGAGGCACAAGAGGAGAAGGGCTGCTCTCCCCGTGCCCCACAGGCATGGCTGGGCAGCTCCAGCCAAGGCACAGCTCTGGCTGCCAGCGCTCAGCACAGCTCCCCAGAGCCCTGCAGAGCCCAGGGCCACGCTCAGCTCCGGGGCCATCAGCCCTTGCCTTCACTCACCTACAATGGGCAAGAAGCCCAGGCACAGGGCACTCCACATGGCCAGGCCCGCTCTGAGTGGCCTCTCTCCAGCTTCTCTGTGCCTGCACAGCAGCTCTGCCCACTCCTGCCCTGCCTGGGCCTGTGTCACTGCTCTCAGGCCCAGTCCCTGCTGGTCCCTCCCTCTGCCTATGACAACAGTGAGGGGGAGAGGTGGGGCACGCGGAGCAGAACTTGAAGCTCTTGGTGCTCTCCTGAGTGTCTCTCACCCTGGGTGCTTCTCATTTTTCTGTTAAGCCCTCTCCATATTCCTACTTTCTGTGATTCAGTGAAACAGCCTCAGGCTTGCTTTGGAGTGTCTCAGAGGGAACACTACATTGGGAAATTCCTAAAGCACAACTGCCTCATTTGGCATCCAGTGTGGGGCTTTAAGGATTGAGATAAGATCAGATCTGCCCTGAGTGGGCTGGAGACAAATTTGATGTCAGCATTAGTGGTATCAGGTATGGAGCCACTGTTGCCAACAATGCTGGGGCTGTTCCTGTGGCTGTGGGACCTAACCCTGTGTATGTTCCCATGGGTGCTCCCCATGATGATATTTTGCAGGGCTGTGGGCACTGAGAAGGGAATTGGGAAGAGGACAGAAACTCTCAGCCTCTGGAGGTGGCTCCCGTCCAGCATTAGTGAAAGATGTTGTCCCAAGGATGATCCTGCAGTGCACCCAGGCAGGTGGAACCCCATGGCCAGAGACTCTATTGGCCAACAAAATAAAACTGTGTGTGCACAATGCCTGTTAGAGGTGCCCACATAATGAAGTCTGGGGTGTGTCTGTCTGCTTGCAGGTTACATTTCAATACAGGTCACAAAAGATTAAGTGCCCTGATTGTGCGAGGCTTTGGCATAGCCAGGAATCAGCTAGGGGCATCCCTACAGAAATTCTACAGTTGACATCTATTTTCAAATCTGTGCTTTGGAAAGACAGACATTTCCAGGGGCTCTGCACTCCCCAGTCCTGAATGGTTTTTCGGGGGAAGATCAGGTTCCCAATACTTCAGTTCAGACAAGATCTGCTGACTGAAATATAAGGGAAAGAGAGAAAACGAACTTGCCCCTGCATCAGGTAATTAACCATCCTCCTAACAGTTTCTGTGATGGATATGTCCATTTCAGCTCTTCCTTGCATATCCTGCGTTGTTCCACACATGTTTAAGTGGATGAATTGCTTATGGGAGATTTTCAGAAATGCAGTAATGTTGATGTCCTTATTTCAACCCCATGTAGTTCTACTTCCTGCACCAAATCAGGGCACACATCACTCACTGCATCCTGACAAAAATCCAGATAAAAACAGGTCTGTAGAGGAATTAACCAACACGTTGTGGTGCTCACTTGGGTTGGGTGAGTCTATATAATTTTCCACATACCACTTTTTATTACCAGTGTTCCCCTCTCCTCCAGTATTTTCTGACCTTTGAAAATGCTTATCACAGAATTCAGCAAACCCACAGTTTCTCACCTGTGAATCCAAGGCAAAATCTGACAGCAACACCGTTCTGATCACAAGTCAGGAATGGGGGACTTACTGAGATATTTAGCCTGATCTCTACAGAACATGGTCAGGAAGCCCAAGTGTAAGACTGCTGCAGTATTTCAGATTGAGATTCCTAAGGAATTTTGAAAGCAATGCTGCAAGTGCTTCCTGTATTTTACTCCATTTCTTCTGTTATATGTAACTTTCAGCTCTAATCATGCTTTAGTTTGAAGTTTCAATCAAATCTCACCTTAGTTTTTCAGCTCTTTCAGTTTCCTGATTCTGATCTTTCCAAAGCCTCAGTATCACTTCACGAGAGTTTTCAACTGTTCCTGATGGCTTTCCAGAATGCAAATGAAGAGCAAAGAAGTTTCATTTGTAGAATGCCCAAGCACAACACTTCTTGTGGGGTTTGGGTGGTTTCTTTAGTTGGTTGTTTTTTTGCTTTTCATCTGCTGCTTGAGCTATTTGCGGGATTTCATGAATTTGAAAGTGTTGTGAGAACAATAAACACTTTGGCCAGAAGGTAGCAGGAGAGACCACAGAAAGCAGTTCAGTTTACATCAATAGATCTAACTTTACCAGGAACTTTTTAGTATTTCAGGACACAAAACAGAGAGGTTAGATTATATCCAAGAGATGCAGTAATGTGATTATTACATTGTACTATTAATGCTGTGTAAGACAGCAGATGGATTCAGTGGTACAAAAAGCTGTTTAGGATTGCCCATTGTCACGGAGTTCTTCATGATGTTTTCCCATGTAACCTCTTGGAGAGAGGTTTATTCGTTCAGGATGCTTTTAATGTTCTCTGCCACTGGAGAGAGCTCTCACCATTTTGGGTTGCTCAGCAGGACCAATGTCAGATACCACACTCCATGTGTGAGTCTCACTAAGGGATAGGAAAAATGAATGTGCTAGAGGTGAAAATTTTCCTCAAATTACTTCAAAAGTTTTATTGAAGTTCATGTTTTGGGTGATCTTGTCACTGAAACTGTGAGAAAAACAAAAACTCTCCCACTTTTTTTTTTTTTAGTGTTAGAGGATCAAGGCATTACTTTATTCTGGCCAAGATGGGCAAGAGAGATAATTTAATCCACACATTGCATGGGTTGTGCAGAGAAAATGCTTCCATCACACGAGGTTTTCACTGGAGTGTTCTAGTACTTCTACAGTGAAAACCCAGGGAAATTCATTGGTTTAATGATCATTGATCCCAAGTTCCACAGTTTGTAGTATTTGGTTTTTATTGATCCCTTCACCTTCAATGTTATTTTGGTTTTCATTCTTCATTCTCTCATTGATCTTTTCCCAGACCAGGTTTCTCTGACCATGCCAGGGCTGATGTCTGGAGCTGATGTTCATTAATGGTCATTATCTTTTGTGTATCTTGTGTCCTGCTCCCAGTCTGCTGAGGTGTGAAGCTAATCAGGCTTAGAGTGCTGGAACAGTCCTTTGAAAATAAACTTCATTTCTTTTCCCCCTGGGCAAAGGTGAACAAAACCCCTTACTAAAGGTATATGAAGAAATTTTGAACTTCTTATAATTCCTGTCAGTATGAGAAAGATGTCACAGAAATTGAGAAGAATTGAGGTATGAAGGGACCTCTGGAGGTGACTGGGTGTCCCCTGCTCTAGCAGGACTGTCTGGAGCTGTTTGGCAAAGACCATGACCAGGTGACTTTTGAATGTCTCTAGGGACAGTGGCTCAGCCCCTGGAGATTTCCAAAGACTGTGAGCAGAATCAAATATGGATGCAAATTAGTCTCTAGTAGAAGAGAAGTAGTACTATGAAAATGTATTGTACCAAAGAGTTCTTCTTATAATCATCCTCCATTATTTAGGAATCAGGACAATATTGTTTTTTCAGATGACAGGATAATTCCACATGCAAATGTGCTTCTTTCAACAGAGGGTATTTTAATGTCCTTTCCCTCCTATGCATCTGATTCCTCTGGTTTTGTCTGAGGCAATATGCTTATAATGTAAATCTACCTGAGAAATTGGAAAAACGTGTGGAGTGCTTGAGAAAAACATTCTGGGTGTCACTGGAAAATCAGGATGAAAATACTGGTGAACAGCTCCCCCTCACTGATGTTACGGTGGCAGAATATACTAAATGAGCATTTCACTGGATTTGAATTTGCCATGCAAATTTCACAAATTTCACAGAGCTTCTGCAAGGGCTGAGGCTCTTCTCTGGGTGTCTGCAGGGCCTGAGGGTCTGAGCTGAGCAAGCTCAATGCAGCACCCCTTGCTATGTCCTGTGCAGAGGCTCTCTTGAAGGCTCCAGGAACTCAGGCAGGGGAAGCAAAGCCTTCTTTCCCCTTCAGGATGTGGTTACCTTGTGTTCTCAAAAGCAGGGGAGGGTTAATGCTGCCTGGTGGAACTGAGTCAGAAATGGTGACCACAGCATCCTGCCTGTAGCTTGAGAGAGGGCATGAGCTGGGGAAGGTGTGGGCTGAGCTCTGTTCGGTAAGAACCAAGTTGTTATGGCAACTATCACTCCATCAAACCACCCCAGATTATTTTCTGGTGGCCCCTTGCTCCTATCCCTGAGTGCAAAACAACAGCAGGGTTTCTTCTCTGCTGACAGGAGCATTTTCCTCCCTCGTCATCCCCTGGAGAGCAATGTAACTTCACTATCCTGTTTGGGTAACTCACCTTGTGCTGAGGGGGCTGTGCTGTTGCAAACCCTGTCACTGGCCTCTGACACTGTTCTGGTTCTGTTTGGTTCCCCAAACCCTGTTACTGGTTCTTCAGGCTTCTCTTCTGTAGCATGATAAAGAAAAGACATTTTAAACTATATCCACCATTTATACAGGATTAAAAATATGTTTAGATGATATTTCTCATAGAAAATCGGAGGCAAGCACAGAGTGGGCCTTAGCTGGTCGGGATAAATTCCGACATCATTTTGAAGAGTCAATTTCTCCATGCAGTTGCAGGAAACAGAGGAAGTCGTGCATTATTTTGGTTTTACTAATTGAATGGCCTTCAGGACTAAGAGAGTAAACCCAACAAATATGACAATTCATTTAGTTAAAAAACTCTCACAACATACCCCACCTTTAACTTTTTGTGTTGGTATTGGAAGGGTGGTTCCAGCTTGTGCTGCAGCAGGTTTCCTGCTATAGGCTAAAATATTGAATCCTAAGGAAATGCACATTTTAAAGAAATTGATGGTGTCTTCCCTTTTCTTCCCAAAAAAGGTATCTGAAAGTAATTAAATAGTTGAAAACCCATTTCTTTTAGATGCTTTGAAACATCTCTCAGCTCTCCCTGCTGAAATCGCAAATGTCTTTCTAATTTCTGCTGGCTGCCTGGGGCAGTGCTGTCCAGAAGGAGAACACAAAGCCCACAGGCCACTGTCTCCAGGAATAAGTGACATCTGTGCCACCAAACTGTACCTGGCTGTGCTGTTATCATGCGGTTGTCAAATTTGGCCATGCAGGTCACCTCCGTGTCTTTTGTCAGCCTGACCACTTTAATTGCATTGTACAACCCCTCTGATGTCAAAATGGATGTGCCCTGTTCATAGACGACCTCCTGAGAGGGCATCTCCAAGCTGATGTTCTTTGTAGGGGAGTTCCTTGCCAAACAAGCTGCTTTCCCAGTGCTGCCATCTCCTTCCAGTTTCTTTGATTTCATCACAACGACTTGAGGGTCAGAAGTTTTAGAAATGTCTGTAAAGAAAAGCAGGGTTAGGACAGGATTAATTTTACTGCAGGCTTGCCCGAGTGCTGAGTGAGCCAAAATTCAGATGTACTCCAGCTCTGACTATTTTGTAACATTGTCCTTCACTGTCTTTTATGTCATTATTCCTTGCCGTTAGTGGTACAAGTAACAAAAGAACATTGCTTAAACTCACAACTGGCTGTGTTACAACAAAACTATTGGTGTCAAAATCATTTAGTAGCAAACAAATCATTGTGTTACCATGATTTATTTATTAGAGAAAAAAACCTTCCTTCTCAGTCAGATCATATATGGCCAATCAAGGGTTATCTCAAAAACCAATGTCAGGACTTAATTCAGATTAGCAATTTGAATTAGAGTAAAAACATGGAACTGAAAGAATCCTCCAGCAGCCTTCCTTGCCAGAAAGGGCTCAGCTTATGAAAGGCTGTCAGACACATCCACAAAGACTGGCGTGTCTGCTTAGACAGGAGCATCCTGGGGTGTCTCTTGGATAAAGAGTGGTGCATTAGGCTTTTCATTTTGCATGGTGTCTGCCTTGCAGGTGGGTCAAGAGATCCCCCATCTCTAACATTTTGTTCATCCCAGGGTACTGATGGTAGGTTAATCAAGGAGCTCTGATTTTACCCCCTTTCCCCATCAGCCCTATGCCACTGCAGAGGAACTGAGGTGAAAGGCAAATCATGCTCTGCCACAATTTCAAGGATCAGCTCTTCTGACCAAACAGGCAGAACTATACACCTGTCCACACCTACAGCAACCAGACACCCACCAGAAATCCAGCATTTCCTTCCCAGCTGTTGTACCAGGCTTGGCCAGATCCTGTCAGTGCTGTGCATTCTGTGTTCTCTGAGAAAACCTTGAAAGGCTTTTCATGTGGTCTCCTCTCCAGGCTTTCCAAACAGCCAGAATACAAACAGGCTGCTTCTCTGCAATAGCTCCCTGGGCAAGATCTTCAGCAAGCAATAATGTACCCAGTGCAATTGTAGTTGAGAGAGCAGAAGATTTGTTTTATCTGGCCCAGAATGCTCATCCGAGTCCCACTAGTTTGCATTACCAGACAAAACAGCCATGAATTCCTACCACTGCATTTTGTTCATCCCAGGGTACTGATGGTAGGTTAATCAAGGAGCTCTGATTTTACCCCCTTTCCCCATCAGCCCTATGCCACTGCAGAGGAACTGAGGTGAAAGGCAAATCATGCTCTGCCACAATTTCAAGGATCAGCTCTTCTGACCAAACAGGCAGAACTATACACCTGTCCACACCTACAGCAACCAGACACCCACCCGAAATCCAGCATTTCCTTCCCAGCTGTTGTACCAGGCTTGGCCAGATCCTGTCAGTGCTGTGCATTCTGTGTTCTCTGAGAAAACCTTGAAAGGCTTTTCATGTGGTCTCCTCTCCAGGCTTTCCAAACAGCCAGAATACAAACAGGCTGCTTCTCTGCAATAGCTCCCTGGGCAGGATCTTCAGCAAGCAATAATGTACCCAGTGCAGTTGTAGTTGAGAGAGCAGAAGATTTGTTTTATCTGGCCCAGAATGCTCATCCGAGTCCCACTAGTTTGCATTACCAGACAAAACAGCCATGAATTCCTACCACTGCTTGCTTCTGGAAGGGATTCCTGTTTTATGTTTATGTTCAAATTTATTTGGAGAAAAATGTGTTCGTCTCCTTTGCTTTCATCTTGTAAAGTCACAGGAGGAACCCTATATTCCAGAAAGTAATGGACCTTAGCATTTTTAATGTATGTTTAGTCTGGAATAATCCAACCTGAACCAAAAGGAAAGCCTGCTCTGTCCTTAACTGAGGCATCAACAGAATTTGCCTGGAGTATCCCATGGTGGCACTAATGCTTGCTATTTTATGTCATTTTGACTTGGGGAACTGGCAAAAGCCTGGATACTAAAGTATTTGTGCTCAAAATGTCGTAAAAAAGCATATTTTAAGTTGCAGCTCCCAAAGTAATTCAGAACTGTATTGGAGAGGTTGCTCGCATCCTGAAAATGTTGGATTCAACTTATTAAGTATCTCAGCAGACTTGAAAGGGACTATGATACTTTAAGCTCAATGCCTTTTACTGTCAAACATAATTCCAGAGTCCCTGTGCCGCTCTGAAAATATCCTGCCATTTGCTAGAAAAAGAAAACCATTGAACAGAGCAGAAAGAAGAGGTCTTTCTGCAGACAGGTAAGTTTACATTCCTTTGTCTCTTTGGAATTGGAAGTGCACTGAGATTGTTCCCAAATACACATTTATTCCCATGCAATATATCCCACAGGCATGGAGAGATATTCAGCAGCACCCAAGGCAGTCCCACATCTTTCTGGAAGGAGAGCAGGAGGTTTTAGGGATGCAAAATAACATGGGACGTTCTTGACACACTTTAAGACATGCAGACCTCTGAAAGCAAAGCAACAATTCCTGAGGGATGCACCTGATACTTTAGGATCACAGAGATCATCAAAAACCCCTCTGCCACACCAACATTCACATTTCCCTAGAAAAGCTTGGGGAGACATGCACCTTTATTTTTCATCATGGAATTCCAAAAAAAGATAGGAATAATTAAGGCTTCTTACAATCCCTACTCCCCACATTGCTCTTTTCAGAACAAAGACAACTGGTCCAAATATAAGCTTCGCTGTCATCACACTGCTAAGACTTATTCCTATAACTTACTCTTTCATCATGGTGTTCAAAAGTGTTATAAAAACAGGCGATGAAAATCCATTAGTTCTAATTATCCACGGGTGCAAGTCAATGAGAGGATCCAGAGGTAGATTTACTTCCAAATATTGAAAAGAAAAAAAAAGTTAGTAGAATCGATCAGTGCTTTTTCATAGCTTGATAGTATAGAATTTTCAACTTCCCCCTTTCTTCCACGTTTCAGAACCTTCATGAGCTCTTTTATGTATCCAGGATAAAAGGAAATATAGGAAGAATGTTGTTCTTCTTAATCACTAGAGCCACCCATCTCCTTTCCTTCCCAAAATATCTCACCTTCTTTCCCTCTTGTTTTTGTGCAGGTCCCTATGCTGTTTATATCATTGTGGTATCCAAGCCCCAAACACAGTGTTATATTTCATAGCAAAAACTGTCTCTGTTCCACTACACCGAATTATGGATTATACAGGCAGTCACATGACCTCCTCAGTGGTTTAAGACTCAATGTACCACAGGAAGAAACACCATATGGCTTTCAAGGAAGGATCTAAAATAATATCAGAGAGGTTGAGTTGTTAATGAGACCTTGGGGACCATGTGACACCTCTGAAAAGTCTTGGGGAGTTAAGGTGGATAGAAAGCAGGAAAATAATCAGTACTTCTGGTGTCCTTTCTCAGCATTTCTTACAATGCAGTCTAACTCCTCTACCTCTCTTCTTGTGGGTAATAGTGGTAGTGTGACAGGAGTCCTGAGATGTAGCAGGCTGGCTCGGGGGGTGTTGGGAGGAATGGATTAAAAGCAGAAAATGCAGGAGGGCCGTAAATTGCTGAAGTGACCTTCCAGCTGGGAATTACCCTTGATAGCCCAGGGTGAACTGCATCCAGGGATCCTCTAGCGTAGACCGTGTTTTAGATACCAGTGACTCTCCTTGCCTCTGCCTGGCTGTTGCTCAGGGATTCACTCAGGTTCGTATACAATTAGTGGTAGCCTGCAATTCTGGAACATTTTCCTAATCCTCCTGCAATAATCAGGGATGTTTTCAACTTTAACAGGTAGTGTAGGTTAGGATTTTTCTTCTTCTTTCTCTCAGGTAATTTTTCTCCCTTTTGTTGCCTGAGAAATTATAAGGATGGATCCTTTTAGAGACAAAGGATGTGACTGGGATGTTGAATAGGGAGAGGGGTGCAGTTGTCTTCCCTCTTAGCTTGGGGGCATTCTCTTGGGAATTGAAGAAATGAGCTTTTGGCCAGGGGTGAAGTCAGGGGGCTGGGCTTAGCTCCTCGCTGGTACTTGCTCTGGGGATTGGAGGTGGTCACAGTCTTGGTGCTGGGCTGCTGCTGCGGGGAGAATTCACTGCCACCACGGAGTTCTGTCCTCCACTGCTCCTCCTACCGTAGCTGAGCCTTTGCGTGTAAGGGCAGTCATTGAACTGGTACCTCTCTTAAATCCCATCTCACAGGGAGAGACACTCACCATCAGTTCAGGTGCCTCAGGGGACACCTGGGAGCCAGACCCCTTAGCCCCTCTGGAGGGAGCATCTCCCGGCTGTTTGTGGGGGCCTGCCTGCTACTGCCCAGCCCTGTTGGTTTCTGCCACTGCTTCAGGGATTTTTTCTACACTATAATTCTACACCCCATGTCTGCCTGACATCATGCAGCTCTTGGCACATCTCTGGAGTGTTTGCTACTGTTTGCCACTCTGGGTGTGTTCACCTCTGCCCTTCCAGCTGCTCCTTCTCAGATTCCAGCTACAGCTCCTTTTGGCATCTGCAGGGGCACTGGAACCAGCTGCTCCTGTGGGATTGTAATGGGAGCCCCATTGTCCATCTCTCCTGCCTGCCCACCCACCATTGCCCACATGCAGAGAGGCAGCCGAGCCGCGCCACAGCGCCCCCTGCTGGAGCGGGGCAATCATCGCACCCACCCTGCCCGGCCAGGAGCCAGCAGCGCCCCTGCTGGCTGTGCTCGGAACTGCACCACAGGGGAAAGTGCCTGCGGCCGGGACAGGCTGGGACCGGCTCTCTGCTTCTCTTTGCTGCTGCAAGTGTTGTTTGTTTGTCTTCCTACACTTACTGGTAAAGAACTATTATTCCTATAACTTTGTGTGAAAGCCGCTTTATTTCAAAGTTATAACAATTTGGAGGGAAGGGGGTCATATTCCCCATTCCAAGGAGGTTCCTGCCTTCCTTGGCCAACAGCTGTCTTTCAAATCAAGACAAAAAGGTTGCTCAAGGCACACTGAATTTGATCTTAAATGCTTTCAGGTTTGGCGCAGATACCATTTCTTTGGGCAGTCTATTTCATCGCTGTAGTTAAAAAAAACATTTCTTCATTGTATCTTGTCTATTCTATCTTTGTGTAAAACTATTACCCCTTGTCGCATCGCTACGGCCTATAGTAAAAGTCTTTCCCCATAATTTTTTAAGCCTCGTTCATTTAAAAGCAGCATTTTTCAATTTCACCTTCTGTGGTCGTATGAAAGACTCACTCACAGCTGCATTCCCATCCCCGCACGAAGATATTTGCCTCAGGCAGAGGAGAAAACTTCCCTTGCAATGTCTGTGAGTTCCTTGCTAGAGGAGGACGCTCTAGCAAGCGAGAGAAGTTACTTTAAAATAATTTAGAAAAACACATGGCTTTGCAAAGTTAAGGAAGAACAAGCATTCTCAATTGACCGGCCTATTGTCTGCTTCCTGGAGCTTGACAAGTCTATTTCTGGCCACGGCTTGTTAATGTAGGAGGCAATCCTGGGCAGAGTAGATGGGAGGAAAATCAACTGGGAAATGATGAGTAGAAGCTCTTTCTTTCTCTCTTGCAGAAATCAAAGGCCATGCGGGAGGACTACAAGGGACAGTGATGTGACAAATTTCCCTGTCAGCAATTTCTTGTCTGCACTAAATGCACCCAGATCTCCCAGGCTCTCCTTATATGTCAGCTGTTCCCTCCCTTGTGTTCCTGGCCCTTCACTGCATTTGTTCCCCTCTGTCCATGTCCTTCCCAGGCTTGGGAGCCCAGCAGGGGACACAGCAGTCCCCAGCCCCAGCAGTGCTGAGCTGAAGAGGACTCCTCCCCAGTGAGCAAGGAGTCAGGTCAACATGCCAGGAGGCTGCATGGACAAACGAGGCTGGGAAAACGTGGATCCACTGCTGAATGGGATAGGGACCACGTGACAGAGGATATGGGACATGGCTGAGGTCCTGAATGCTTTATTCACCTCAGGCTTCAGCAGCCACATCAGCATT